ATCCCTCCTGCCTCAGCTTCCAGAGTTCTATGATTACAAGCACATGCCACCACATCCAGCTAGGACATTTCAGTAACTACTGAGTTAAAATTAATATTTTTAAGTGCACAGAACAGCTCCTGGTACCTAATATGTGTCATGTAAACATCTGTTAAATCAGTAAAACTGAAGCCCAAGCTGGGTATAGTAGCTCATGCCTGTACTCCCAGCTGCTTAGTAGGCTGAGGCAGGAGAATTGCAAGTTCAAGGGCAGCCTGGGCTGCTTAGGGAGACTGGTTACAAAATAAAAGTTTAAAAGGACTGAGGCTGTAGCTCAGTGGTAGAACATTTACCTTGAATGCATAACATTCTGGGTTCAAGCCCCAGTACTACAAAAAATAAAAGAATAAAGTCCAAGCCTTTGAGAGAAGCTAAATTTGAGTCAGCTGCATGAATTTCTCTGACAATACTTTGAATCATGCAGGATAAATACAATGAAGAGAAGTAAAGTGGGCCTGGCCTGTGCTGCTGCTCATTAAGACAGCCAGGACCCCTGGAATAGAGAATTCAGCATTGTAAAATTGGAGTATCTGAGCAAGAGGGGCCTCAGCCCACCCAATCCTAGGGCTTTAACCTGGAATCCAGGTCTCCTCAGATGATCCACCTGGGCTGGGTGAGGTGGTGCCCACCTGTGATCCCAGCCTTCTAGGGAGGCTGAGGCAGGAGGGTCAAAAGTTCAGACTCAGCCTTGGCATCTCAGTGATTTAGTGAGATCCTGTCTCAAAATTTAAAAAAAAAAAAATAGGTAGAAAGGAGTGAGGCTGTAGCCCAGTGGGAAGACCTTGGTGTTTAATCCTTATTACTGCAAAAAGGAAAAAAGTGATGATGTCTGTGAGATTCAGGGAGCCTGGGCACCCCATGTGATCTTCTGCATTTTGAGATAGAGGCCACTGTTTTAAGAAGTGTCATGGAGCTCTGCCCCTGGAAGCTGCTGATCCTCACCAGGTCACAGTCACGGGCAGACCGGAGCTCGACTTCGTCCCAGCTGTGGCTGCCACACAGCTCCCAGGTTCCTTGCACTTCCCTGTGCACCTTTCTTTGGGCATCTGAGGGCCTGAGGGTCACAATCCCAGTTCAGGGCACAGGGTCTCCCGGCTTTCTTTGCTCTGTGCCTCCTCTGGGGACACCATGACTTCCCACGGCCTATAGGCTCCTTGGAGGATACTGAGAGGGTCCCCACCGTCCCCAAGGGCCCAGGTCAGTGCGGCCACCCCTGGCCCCAGCATGGCTGGCTCTTCCATCGTGGCTGGATGCTTAGGAGGGACAGGCCAGGCGCAGGACTATTTCCATATTCCAGAATGCACTCTCCTAAATTTTCACTCGCACACCTGCCAGTAGACAGCAGGAGCAGCAAAGGTGCCCAGTCTCCCTTCCGCCTGGATGTCCCTGAGGTCTCAGGACTGCCTGGCAAAACCACTTGCCCATCTGCCGTGCGGCACCATCTGGCCGCTGGTATGTGTGGACCTTGACGACCCCGGCAGCCCCAGAGCGGGCCCCTCGTAGGTAGAAATACGGAGACGCCTGCCCTCTGGTGGCCACCATAGCACAGCACCACTCGAGCCAGCCAGGCCGGTGCGGTCGCACTGAGGAGAAAGCAGCGTCTCCAAAGAAACAGGCCATGAATTGTTAGTTAACCAGGCAAGGATTTTTGGAAACTGGACACATTCTATTTTGTTGCTAAGATGCCACCTCCCAAGGATACCTGAGCCACTTGAATTTTAGAGGGAATCTTATTAGCAGCTTGGGATTTCCAAACACTGGGTCGGCCAGAAAACCAGCAGCCTCGGTGCCACCGCGCATGTCCCCACCCTCCCTCTAGGCCACCATCCTGGGGCCCTGGGTCTGTGTCCCTCAGCAGTAGAGCAGCCCTGCCTTGTTTCTGCAGATCCAGGAGAAGCTGAGAGCCCTGGGCCTTCTGGGTCCCCTCCCAGCCCACTGCAGGCACGCGTGGATACACACAGCCCTGCACTGCCCTGGGCTGGCAAGGGCCCTGGGGCCCCACATCTCTTCTCTCCTGCTTCCAGTCCCCTTTCCTGCTGCTCACCTGCTGAGCTAACTGTCGGTCTCCTGTGCCACCTGAAGCTCTAGTTCTTCCCTATTACCTCGGGTTTTAGGGAAGGGCAGCCTCTCATGCCGGGGGCGGGAGGGGTGAGCTTCAGCAGTTCCCACAGCCCTAGGTGAGGCCTTTGCCCCTGGTCCTTGGGGCTCTCTGGCCTCCAAGGCTGGGGACAGTGGCTCTGCATCCCAACCGCACACGGGAATCACCTCAGGGGGGTTTGGAGCACAAGCCTTGGTCCTGCCCCAAGCAGTGGTTTAGGGGTCTGACGTGCAGCCTGGGTTTTGGGATTTTTAAGCCTGTCTTGATGGCTCTAGCCACAGCCTCAGCTGAGACTGCCAACATGGGTGCTGATCCTGCCCCTACCCAAGGCGGCCAGTCCCGCAGCTGTGGATCCCTGACATCCTCAGCTCCTGGCGTGATGTCTCTCTCCCTCAGTGTCTCCTCTGTGTGCGTGGGCTCCAGAGCTGTGCATGTTGCCCCGGGGTCCCTGGGAGAAGGAGTATACCAAGAGTGTGATGCAAGGAGCACCCCTTAAAGTTGTGCCACTGAGGCTTTGTGAGCTCACTTCTGGCTGGCACAGCTAGAGGCTGGTAGCCAGAAGCCAGGCGGGTGCAGCAGGGCACACCCGAGCTGGTACAGGTACGAACTAACAGGACCAGAGACACAAGGCCTAGTATTGCAGCTGCCTTGGGGATCTCTGAGTGCTACATCAGTTCCACCAAGGACAGTGGCAGAATCCACAGCTCCTGCCCTGGTGGGAGCGGTTGATTGTTGCACCCACCCAGAGTGGTTCTTGTTGCCCCACCCCACAGGGTACAGTAAAACTTCACAGTAGAATTTCTTGCTTGGTTCAGCCCTGCCTGGATTGTCTACCCCCAGATTCCCACACCCCTCACCACCATCCACTTTCTCAAAGGTCACTTTCTTAGCAAGGCCAACCCTTACTGTCTTACTTAAAATGTCAACTCCCACTTTACATCCTGACCCCTCTACCTCCTCTGGTTTGTCCCTGTCGGCTATTCGCAGTGTGAGTGTCGCCCCCATGAAATGTGAACTTCCCAAAACGCTCTGATGGCTGCCTCTTCTTGTTGCTTCTTAACCACTGTGCCTACTACCATGGTGGTCTTCCGGCATTCATGTGACTTCTAGACCTGTCTCTGACTTGTTTCTAAAACCTGACACCTGCCTGGTCCTCCCCCTGGCTTGGGTATCAGGGTGTGGCCTCCCAGTGGCTGACTCCAAATCACAGGTGACTCCCCACACCTGCCTGTGTCTTTTCAAAAGAAAAGGAAAAGCTGGACATAGACGTACCACACCAGTAGACCTAGCGACTTGGGAGGCTGAGGCAGGAGGATCACTTAAGCGCAGGAGCCCAAGACAGGCCTGGACAACATAATGAGAACTTGTCACAAAAAATAGGTGATTGATTGATTGACAATTCTGTCAAAAGAAAAGGAAAGTCAACATGCTAACATTGAAGTAGCAGTGCAAACTAAACTTTCCGTCTCATGGCAGGAGGCCAAAGCTTGAGTGTCCTGCCTGTTGGAACAGGTAGAAATAGGGCTACCTAATGAAATGCTCTGTGCACTTCCCTTCCCCCTCGGGGTCTGCTCGTGTGGGAGAATGAGCAGTGTCTTGGGGGCAGAAGTTTGATTGCCAGCTGGCTCTGTGGGCCTTGGGTGAGGCCTTCTGCTGTCCACTCCAGACAGGACCCTATCTGGGCAGACAACCCTCACGGTGAGGCTGAGCCTCTCTGCTCAGAGCTACCGGAAGGTGCTTGGCTCCAACTTTAAATGACAGCAAAATGACACCATCGTAGGGGCTACACACACTGCAGGGGTATTCTGGGAGGATGTGGGACTGGAGCTGGGTGGCTGAGAGTCCTGGAGAGACAGTGCACTTGGCCATAGGAGGAAGTCACCAAACTTCCAGAAGCCTGAGGCCACTGGGGCAGGGTCTCAGGTGTGAAAGATGAAACTGAGGGGAGTGGAGGCCCAAGGGTCGGGGGAGTAGGTGAGACAAGAAGATGGATCAGGAGGGAGAGGGGGCCAAGGGGCTCTAATCACAGAGATCTTAACGTTCAAATGTCTCTGGTGCACACACAGGAGCTCTCTGTAGTGTTTGCCCAGTGGGCAGCAGCCTCAGGCCTCTGGGCCATGAGCAGGTGGGCACAGGCCCTGCCCCCAAGTGGGTGGCAAGGCCTCTTCCATCCCATCCTGCCCACCGCCCACTGCTATAGGTGGTCTCTCATGGACTTTCCTTCGCTCACCTTGGCTCCTCGAGCAGGTCCCTTGGTTCTCCATCCTTCTGACTAAATTCATCATCTTCACATGGCTTCTCTGAGACCCTCAGCTCAGAGGTTAGGGCCCCAGATTTAGCAAATAAGAGAACAGGATGCCAGGTTAAACCAGAATTCCAGATATACAATAGATTACATTTTAGCTTTAAGTGTATCCTGTGCATTGTTTGGGACACAGTTATACTGATTTATCTGGAACTTGAAGTTAATTGGACGTCCAGTATTTATATGGTGAATCAGCTCCTATGGTGGCAGCTTGGGGTTAACCTGGTGGCCTCTTGCTCATGGGTCAGCCCATGGGAGCCTAGAGGGAAGTAGGAAGAAATGGTTCCTCGTGTTCTTTGGAAGCCAACTGCCAACAGCAAGGAAGATGGCCTTCTCCCTGATGTCCATGGGTCCCTTCATGAGATGCCTTCTCTTCTGACCTGGCCAGGGTCCTCAGCCCTCAGCCCTCACTCTCAGGCCATGTTGCGGCTCCTGTCAACTGTCCCCACCCAAAGCTACCTCTTCTTCCTCCGTTACCTATCGAAATCCTCCTGCCTCTCTTTCTGGGACCAGCTTCCCGAGTCTGGGGGCTGAGCACCAGTCTTTATGTTCCCACAGAGCCGAGGACAGGGCCTGCCATTCCTGTGAGTATTAGAGGGAATCCCAAAAGACCTGAGCAAGCCCAGTTTTCTGCCAGGTTCTTGATGAACTGTGAGCTCCGTCCTACGCCTTCCCCCAGGATGGACTGCCAGGAAGAAACCTCGGCCTGGACTATTCACACCCTTCTTTGGGGAGAAAGGAGCTGCCCTCCCAGCCCAGTGATACCCTCAGGCACTGCAGGAGGTGGTGGGCGCTGGCCCCCCTGGCAGCAGGCTGCCACAGACGAGCTCCCTCTGCTGGCCAATGATGGCCACGTGTGGGGGTCCTAAGACACTCTGTCGCCATCTTCATCACCGCCATCTTTATCACCGCCATCTTCATCATCGTTATCATCACTGTCATCAAGCCATTTCAGCCACACTGCTCAACAGGTCAGATGTGTTCTCTCATTCAGCTCTTATTAACCCTGTGAGTTAGGAGCACCAGCCCTGCTTTAGGACGGAGAGGCAGCATCCTAGACTGGTGGAGGCCTTTACACATGGCCCCAGGGTGCTGAAGGCCCAGCCAGAAAGATGGACTTCCTGGCTGGCCCTGTCTTGGCCTCTCCAGGATGCCCATCCTTCCCCATACAGGGAAGCAAGCAGTCCAGCTCATATCTGAACGACCTTGTCAGCAAGGTGACCTCAACATGGCCACCCCTCCTCCCTGTATTCTCAAAGATGCCCCTTGTGTCCCTGAGAGAGAGAGGACCAAATGCCCAAGAGACCCGCCCGGCCCTAAGCTTCTGTCCCCACTTTGAACACTGCTCAGGAGATGGTCTGTCTCCAGGACCTACCTTATCTCTGTTTGTGAGTGTGCAAGGTCACCAAGTTCAGGGTCTCCCCTGAATTCAGAACACAAGTCCCCTTCCCAAGATACATTTGATTCTACCCCATTGGTCTCCTAAATACAATAGTGGCTCATCATGAAGCCAAGAGCCCTATGAAGTCGGGAGGAGGGAGACCAGCAGGCTTAAGGCAGGGCTGCATGGGATCTGCCTCATTGCCCACCACCCTCAGCCCTCCTCTCCTGCTTTTGTCCCTGCAGGTCTAACTGGCTGAAGCCATGCTGTGGGAAGAGAGCAGCCGTGTGGCAGGTATTTTTGCTCAGTGCGAGCCTCAACAGTTTCCTGGTAGCCTGTGTAATATTGGTGGTGATTCTCCTGACTCTGGAACTTCTAATAGATATAAAGCTTCTCCAGTGTGAGTAGCAAGAGAGATACCTATGCAAATACATATGATGTCAATATTCACTGTGCATCTATCCGCAACCATCAGGGGTCCCCAACAGGCAGGCTGCGAGGCCCCACCTGATCCTGCTGCCAAGCCACTGGCCCCCTGGTTCACAGGGATGGCCACTGGGGAGGGACACATCTGGCAGCTGCTCTGTTACCCAGAATCAGTGTGCCCTCTCTGCCCAATGTGGACTCTTCAGTTCCCTCCCCTTGCATCCCATGAGCAGAAACTGGTGAGATGAAAAAAAAAAAAAAAGGTTGGGGACTGCTGTGTGCAATTTTTTATTGTTCCTACTTGGAATTTTCCAGATTGAAATTTTTTGTAGCTTAAAGAGAGTTCCCATGTGTGGAGCACATGACCCTGTCATAACGAATAATGACAGCAACCACAATGACACTAAGAGCCCTTGTATTTTTCCCCACCTGTAAGTTGGTGTTATTTACGTACATTGTGATAGTTTTGCTTTTTGACACATTTGGCCCACCAGCTGCCCTGCATGATGGGCAAGACTGTACAGTCCCATTTTACAGATAGAGCAAGTTGAGGTTAGAGCTAGAGACATGCCCTAGGTCGCAGGTATTGGAGGGAAGCATCCAGCCACCAGGCCATGTATCCGCTTGGCCAGTTCTTACCACACCGACGTGGGTGAGATCCTCTTGGGGTTCATCCCAGCTCCACATTTATGGTAACCAGATGCGTGTGGCAGCAGGAACCTTATCGACTGCCTCTTCTGCCCCAGTTGTCCCATGGAAGCATGGCTATGAGAGGGGAAGGCCATCCTTTCACCTCCCTTGCAGACCTGTTTGGTGCCCCAGGGGCTGGGGGCCAAGGGTCTTTGGAGGAGTGAATGGTTCTGCTCCCCCAGCTCCCTGATTAGAAGCTAGAGCTTTCAGGTGCAGATTTTTACAAAGGTGGTGTGGTTGGCTCTGGAGAGATTTCCTTTCCTGCCATTGTCAAAATCCAGGACTATAGATCCTGCCACCCCCAAGCCCTTGTGGTCACCATGGGCTCATTCTCTAGCAACACCCCAATTTCTCTACTGGGTGCCCCATACTCAGGGCCTGTCAGGGATCCCCCCAAGTCACATCACCTCCTGGTTCTCCAGGAGAGGGTGACAGCAAGCACAGAATTGCTTTTGTCTGATAAGCCTAGTTGGGTTTTATGCAGCTGGGGCCCCTTGGTTCCAATTAAAATATCTTCTAGCATAAAGTGACCGGTACTGGTTTTATACTCAACCTGTCTTCAATTAAACCGTGTTGTAGACTTTCCCTCCCACTCGTCCTTACTGTCTCCTTTTTATGAGGTCTGGCCATAACGGGGCCTTTCTTCCCCTGCGGTGGATTGCCGTCGGGGCCCTCGGCCGCTCAGGTTGTGACAGGCATTGAGGAGAACTGAGAACCCAGCCGACGCTGGAATTTTGCTTAAAATTAAGTATCCAGGAGATTGATTTTGGTGGGAGATCCAATAGCAGCTCATAAAAGGCATCTTAAATTCCATAAAACACACAATCAGAGATTTATTGCTCTTCTAAAGCAAACCGTAAAAAAAGGCACAGGAATTCATTTGAGAAATAATGGGGAGAGATTTTATGTTTTCAGAATCATCCGGAGGTCTTTGCAGAGTCACCCAGGCCTCCGCCCCTTGGTTCCCTCTAGTATTCATGGAGTTCTGGGCGGGAAGGATCCGTAGCATCTCCAGGGCCCCTCTTCCGAGGGTCAGCGTGGCCCAAAGCTAGGGGGCCTCAGTGTCCCCCAGCTTCCCCCACCTGGATGCTGATACTGCAGCTTCTTCCCCTCGAATTTGCTTGAAGGCCTGGGTTTTCACCCAGCCCCAGGACTGCATGTCCCGGAATGCGGGGAAGGGGTGCTGGTTCTTGTGGATGGCCCTGGGCATTTGGAGGAGCAACCCCAGCAAGCTCGCTAGGGAGGTGGCTGAAGCCATTTTGGAGCAGCACCCCGGTCCAGGGCCCAGCATGCCCCAGGGTCTCTGTGCTCTGGGGAGCATCCTTCCTGGAACACCCCTCGAAGCTCACCAGCCCTCACCATGGCCTCATCGTCCCATTTCGTCCTCCCTTGCTGGGAAACTCTGTTGCCCTAGGGTTCTTGTACTTAGGCCTTGCAGAGACGGTGCCCACGTTCCAGCACAGCTGGCACTAGGTGAGATGGGCACCATCAGAGGCCAACAGCCCCCCTACTCCTGCTGGAGACCTAGAAGGGAGCAGCACCCCGGGCAGCCTGCCTCAGGCCTTGCCATGGTCACCCCATGTCCTGCTCCCCATCCCAGGCCTCCTCCAGCCACCTCCAAAACACCCACAGATACTGCTGTCTCAGCCGCTCAGTTCTCAGGACGAGACGTTGGAGCGAGCTGGCCCGGAGCCCGCTGGTCACATGCAGCACTTGGGGGGACTGAGCTGCGGGGCCAGAGCCCCTCAGGCCTCACCAACACTGCTTGGCATGAGTTCCTCCTTGGCCTGCCACGCCTGGGGCTGGAGGGATGAACGGCACCGCTGGCCACAAGCCTGTCACCACCTCCCTCATAGACACAGTTAGGGCTGCCCTTGTGCAACGTGTCACCCAAGCTAACTGCTCCCACAGCTGGGGTGACCCCAGAGGTCTTCAGGGCAGTGCCCACACGTCCAGTTCCACCCCGCTAAAGCTGGTCCTTGCTGTTCTTTGCAGTTTCCAGTGCGTTGCAGTTTGCCAGCATCATTCACTGGGTCAGCCTGGTCATCCTCTCAGTGTTCTTCTCCGAGGTAGGTGAAGACTCAGGCTGTGAGCCCCACTGGGAAGCCAAGTTTTGCTTCCTTATGTATTTCCTGGTGGCCAGGCCCCTGCTGGTCCTTGCGCTGCAGGCAGCGCCGCCGTGGGAGGTGCTGGGGGAGGAGCTGGGCCTTCCCAGCTGTGAGATTGAGTCCAAGCAGGCGACCCTGAGAGGTGGCCCAGAGGATGAGCAGGTGGTGTCGGGGTGAGGGGTGGCCATGGCTCTGTGAGGAGAGACTGACGGTGACACTGAAGAGCAGGGGTGGTTGGTGGCCAGCAAGGAGCAGACAGAGGTGAGGCAGAAGCCCAGGGAGCCGGAGGAGAGGAGCAGTGAAGGCTCAGTGGCCTGACCCTCAGGGCCAAGAAGGCAGAGGGCAGAGGGTGTGCTCTTGGGGCTAGGCAGAGGGGACAGGCGGATCTGCAGATATGCCCTGGGGTGGGGTAGGAAAGGAGTGTGTTTCCCAAGTGGTGCCTGGGGACACGATGCCCCGGGTCTTGCTGGGGTCAGTGAGTAAAGACCACACCACAGAAGCTAGCTAGAGGCTCCCAGGCCTTCTGTGGACCAGCTCTGGCTGATCTGTAGCTCTGTTGTCCCTCCCACTACAGAGGGGAAGGCTGGGCCTGGGGCCTGCAGCTCAGAATCCTGGATGTGGGGTGTGCAGACTGCACAGCAGGCATTCTAGAACATTCCCTTTCTGGGCCCTGCTTCCTGAAGTTGGCTAGCCTGGGCCTGGGGTCCAGACTGTAGCAGCATCTCTCATGCTGTCCTCCAGGAAGCTCCCTGACCAGGTTGCTGTCCCTGAAGCAATGTGCCTGCTCCTGGCCGCATGCCCCCAAGGGGTCCTGCTTTCCCCCACCCGTCTCTGCGCCCTGGGATCCCGTTCCACAGACTCAGGGGCTAGGCCAGATGGCTCCAGCACGCAAACCTTGGAAAATGCCCAGTGCGTCTGTGGCTGCCAACAAAAATGTTTAATCAGTTGCTGCAGCTCTTCCCCTCCATCCCTCTGCTTTGGTTTTATTGGCTTTGGCAGAATTTATTACCCAGCGTTAATTTGGCATCCCCTTCCTGTCACTGCCGGAGACAAACCACCTGAAACAGACGAGGCCCTGTCCTCAGGAATCGCAGACCGAGCCCTTCACACATCCCCCAAAGTGGGGAAGGGGCTGGAGCTCCCCGCAGGCTCGGCAGGAGAGCTGGGTGTAGGATCTGGGGAGAAGGGCTGAACCTCACCCTGGGCCTTGTCGAGATGGCAAAGGTAGGCTGGAGCCTGGCACGGAGAAGCTGGGGTCCCTTCCTCCCCCAGCGCCCAGGCCACTGAGAACAAGGAATGCAGTAAGCTCGGGTCCAGGCAGCGTCACCAGCGCCGGGAGGACCAAGCCCCAGAGTCCCCACCCCTGGTGTTTGGAAATGTGTGAGGTGTTTGTGCTCACAGTGATGGGGACATGGCCGGCAGGAAGTGCAGGGGGCCAGCACCCCTTGGCAGGCATCACGCCACTGGGGGCCTTGTAGACCCACCCCACGGAGGGGCGCAGCCTGGGTTGCACAGCCAGTTATAGCCACTGCTTGACCCAGCTCTGCCTCCTGACCTGGTCTCGCCCCTGCTCTCCTGCTGTGGGCCTGAGGCCAGCAGCTCAGGAAAGGAGAAAATCTGGGGAAGACCGAGGCCAGAACCAGGAATGGAGAAAGCAAAAGTTTAACCACAGCCCCAGGACAACCAGACTCCCTCCTCGTCTGGGGAAGCGGAGGTCGCCATTCTGATCCAGGCCCTTCTCTCTCTGGCGCCTGCTCCACTATGTGACTGAGAGCCAGGTGCAGCCTGTCCCTTCCCAGGCCTGGTGAGCAGCTGCGTTTTGGCATCATCCCGGAAATCAGTCCCCGGGGCCCCTGCTGCCCTGGAGCCCTGGCCCTGGCCCTGAGCAATATTCTACCCTTTATCTCAGTGGAACCTTGGGACAGCCTCGGGTACAGCACAGGTTAGGAAACGGAGGCACCGAGCATGTAGAAAGCCCCCAAGGCCTGTGGGAACCTCAGAGGGAGCTGGATGTGGCCCTCATTCATCCCAGAGCTCTGCAGGCAGTTGGGGAAGAGGGCTGCTGTCTGCCCAGCCCCAGAGCACAGTGCTGGGTCCACAGGCAGGGAGAGACTGGCCACCAGCCACCATGGTGGACACCGGTGCTTCTCAGAGCAGCAAGAGTGTGTGCCTTGGCCGACAGAGCCCACGGCGAGAGGCCCTGCTGCGCTGGGTCAGGAGGCGTCACCAGCCTTCTTTGTGACCTGCAGCCCCACAGTGAGCAGAGCCTTGGGATCTGAGGGCAGTTTGAGCAACATTTGCGAAGTGCACCACTCTTTGTGGGGACCTCGCCTAGCTGGCCACTCGGAACCAGAGCCAAGGATGCAGAGCTCTGGAACCTCCTCGCTGAGGCTGGGTCACTCCACAGCAGGGCCCACCAGGACAGGCCCTGAAATGACGATGCAATACTTCATCCCTTTTCATGTCTGACTAATATTTCACGGACCATGTTTGTTTATCCAGTCACTGACAGCTCAAGGCAACCACCGTTTCCTCCCCGAATTGTCTCTGGCTCCACAGCCCTTTGCCAAAACCAGCTGTGCCAGGGCCCTGTCGTTGCACATCTGTAGCCACCCTGAGGTCCTGGGTCCCTGAAGTCCTTCCCTCCTTGCATGTCCTCTGGGAGCCCTGGGAGCCTCTGTGCTCAACTGGGAGGTGAGGGCCTGGTGCTGTACTTTATGCACTGAAAGATGAAGATGAACTTGCTTCTACTCTGCTTGGCTAAGGGAGCAAGTTTGGCCACTATAATGCTGTGTGATCTTGGGCCAGTCGCTGGCCCTCTCTGTGCCTCCCCCCCCTGTGGGCTTCAGGAGAGGTTCCCCTGCCCCTTGCCCTCTCCAAGTTCCAGAGTGCGTAAGGGAACTGAGGCCCAGGGGAGCCCTCCATTGGGGGCAGTGGCTGCCCTGCCACCCTGCAGGCTGAACCTGAGGACTAAGAGGTGAGAAGACGGAGGAGATGCACTGGGATTCATAGGGTCAGCCTTGCCTAGCAGGCTCCAGGCCCCCAGCCCCCGTGCTGCACGTGCCCCTCCCCATGGGCTGGCACCGGAGCCAGCCTGCCCCGACACCTGGCTGAGTCTTCCCCACTGCCAGGAGCCTCTCCTCAACTGGACCTGGGGTCATGGGCAGAGACCTTTTGAAAACCAGTGTCAAGGTGTAAAGTCTTGGAGATGGCAGAAGGGGTTCAGCGAACCTCATAATTGATTTATTATAGCTATTTCCTAGACACTGACAGGAGATGCCTCGTTTCCAAAAGTCAGTGTTACACAGTCTTCCGGCAGGGGTGCATCCGGGGTGGGGCACCCCAGCTCCCGAACACAAAGGGGGCACACAGCGGGACCAACATGTCAGCTCCGGGCCCTTACTCTGAAGGCTCAGGCTCTGGCCTGCGAGGACTGACCCCCAGGCCACCGTCTCCTCGTCCTCCTAGACCCACACCTGTGCTTGCCAGGCCTGCACTGGACAAATGACCCCTCCTCACAGCGTTTTTCCTCCCTTTCAATGTTTGACCTTCTTTCACCCGCACTCATCACTCACTCTTTCTTCTGCTCCCCATTCTCTATCCGAGAGAGGGTCTGCATCTCCTTTCATTTTCTCTGCCACCCTTTGGAGAGGAGAAGGATGTAGTTTGCATGTCCTTGCCTTGCTAGTGAGTCTTTAAATGGACTTTGGAAATTTGAAACAATGTCACCAATATATTTTATTACGTGAAACCCAGCTAGAAATGGCTTTGGTGGTGCTCAGCAATACTATTTTATATACTTATTCTAAATTAATCTATATTGACATACTTGGCCCGTTTTACTGACATTTTAAAACCATCACCATTTTTTATTCTAAAAGGCAAGACACGGCCTTGGCGGCGTTAGCTTATTGGAGAATAGTGCAGGTATTTGTCAGACAGCGGGTGGGACAGTCAGAGGTGCCCATGAACTCACGCCAAAGCTGTGCCACCGCTGTGTCCTGCTGACTTCCAGAAGAGCTGAATTCAATGCTGTTTCCCTTGTATTTTTTTTTTTTTTTTTGGTTTTTCTCCGGTACCGGGAACCGAACTCACAACCTTGCGCTTGCCAGGCAGGCGCTTTTGCCGCTGAGCTAAATCCCCAGCCCCTCCCTTGTATGTTTTTAATAAATTGAAGCATGCTAATGAATTTGGGGGCTCACTAGTAAAGAAAACAAGACTATGGATGTTAACGTAGAATATAGATTCTGAGTTGAGGGTTTTCCTCTAAATGTGCTCTAAATTAACCCTAAATTACTGCGGTTTGATGGGCATTTGCTGGGCTGTTAGGAGACAGTTGCTTCTGTTCTTTGATCCCATGCAGAGTCACACGTGGGAAACTCAAAGCCGCATACCACCAGCTAGCACAGTGAAGTCCCAGAGCAGTAGCTCTGGGGAGAAGGAGGCTGTGCAGGCCACCCTGGGGACAGGCCTCACGCATGGGGTCCTCAGGGATCCTGGGCAGGTGGGGCAGAGCACAGCTGGGATTTGATTGGCCCCAGATCACCCGGCCAGTCCAGGACTGAGCTGTGTGTCACCTCAGGGCCTCGCACATCCGCCCAGACCTAGTCCTACCTGGGTGCCATCCTGCAGCTTAGTGTGGCCTGCCAACCCGGAGAGTGAGAGGCCGCAGAGGAGCTGCCAGGCTGCCATATTCCTCTCAAAGAGAGCATAACTGCTGCCACCAGGTCCTTCCCCCTGGGCCTTCACGGAAGTCAGACAAGTCCTTAAGCGGAATAGTGAACGTCACCAGCCAGGTCTCTTCTGGCATCTAAGCGTGGGTAGGTGATGCCCCAAGGGCTCAGCAGTGTCCCTGAGCTCAGAAGGTGGCCTCCGGGGACAGGTATGAAACACTGTTGGGTATGAAACACTGTCACTGTGGCTCAAGGAAGGACCACAGACAAATGAAGTAGGGTCAGAAGAGACCAGCTTTTGAGAATCTTCGGTGGACAAACATCCTCCTGATGAGGAAGCCACTCCTGGAGGCCACAGGGCTGAGAGATTTCTCCGTGCATGCATTTGTCACTCTGTCACAGGTGTCACCATGCAGTGTCTACACCACACCAGGGACTAGGTCTAAGAGGGAGCGGTCAGACAGTGTCCAGCAAACCTTAACCAGGGACTAGGGTGTGGAGCTGGGTGGGGATCTGAGGACCACAGATCTGAGAAAGGGCACCCACTGAGCCTGGGGAGTGGAGAAGGCTCCACAGAAGTGACATCTGAACTGGGGACAGAAGGACAAGATGGGACAGTGCCCTGCTGGCTAGCACACAGGCCGTCCTGCTGTAACAAGAAAACCCCAAGTGCAGGAGCTTAAACTGGGTGAGTTAATGGATGTCACAGGAGGAGAGGTTTCTGAGGAGGCACCTAACAGGCTGCTGTGTCCTTCTCAGCCCTCCCCAGTTAGAGATGGACCGATCACACCCACTGAGCCTCCAGGGAGAGGAACACAGAGGAAAGAGCTGAGCGCAACCTGGGCATTGGCCGGAGCTTAGTCCTGTGGTCACTCTGGGGTGCAAGGAAGGCTGGGAAATGTAGTCTTCAGCTGGGTGTCAAATATGCTATAGAACAGAAGAGCGGTGTCAGCTGTTGGCCTTCACCATATGTAGAGACAAAGGAGGGGAAGGAAGTTTGCATGTCTGAAGATGTGTAAATAGTTTTGTGTCATGAGGGGCGGGGCACGCGGTAGTGTTGGAGAGGGAAGTAGGGTCCTGAGGACTCCTCCTTAGGGTTGGACGTGAAGGGTTTTGAGCAGGGCTGGCCTGGCACAGAGATAGGTGGCAATGGTCACAAGAGGCATGGCCACTGGCCACCGATAGGCCCAGAGCAGGACATTCATAGAGGGGACGGGGAAGGCGCCAGGCTGAGGAGCAGGGACTCTTCGCTGAGGGCGGAGCTGGAGACCAGCAAGCTCTTCTTCTCTCCTCAGACTGTCCTGAGGATTGTGGTGCTGGGGATCTGGGACTACATTGAAAACAAAATAGAGGTAAGGACCCGGGTCTGCCACCACCCGCCAACCCAGCTGACCTGGGAGCTGGCAGACGTCACTGTCTCACCCGTCCCAGGGTGGGAAGGTGGGACCCAACCTCAAGCCAGCCCTTCCTGCAGTAGACACCCCCACCCCTGAGTCCTGTCAGCCGCACAGGCTGGATGGCTGGGGAGGAGGCAGGGAAGGGGTGACATGGTCTGGTTTCCAGCCAAAGGATGCTCTAAGAAATTTTCTGTTCTACGCCATTTTTAAATGCATTCTTGGGCTGGGGATGTAACTCAGTGGCAGAGCAGGTACTTAGCACATGAAGCCCTGGGTTCTGTCTCCAGCACTAAAAAAAATGTCGCTTTTGGACTCAATCTGAAAAGCTTCTGAAATGCGTTTAGAAACAAATATACCCTGATGTAATGCAGCAATTGGTCAGGGAGCCCAGCAAGGAAACTGCAGCGTGCTTCTTGGGCTGGGCCTGCGCTCTGCTCTGCTGGAAGGAGCCGGCTGTGGCGGGCAGGGCCGAGGCACGCTGGCCTCGCTGTGCTGTCTCCGGTTCTGCCTGCACAGGCGAGACTCCGTGTCCAGAATTTCACTGTGCTGTCAGGCTCCCTTCCCTGTCCCTGTGGGGTGGGGGACTCTGTGCTGTTCAGGGTGATACACAGGCCCCCGATGCCTGCTACCCATAGGGAAGGAACCCCTGCAGCCACTGCCAGCCTCAGCCCTGGCTCTGTTTGGTCCTGGAGATCTGAACGCCCCTCGTCCCACAGGTGTTTGATGGGGCGGTGATCATCCTGTCCTTGGCCCCGATGGTGGCATCCACTGTGGCCAACGGGCCCAGGAGCCCCTGGGATGCCATCAGCCTCATCATCATGCTCCGGATCTGGCGGGTGAAGAGGGTCATCGATGGTGAGTGGCCTGGGGGTCTGTGGGGCGTGGCAGGAGCTGTGGTAGCAACAGGGGGTGAGGGGCAAGTAAGGCTCTGCATGAGGAGAGCAGGCCCAGCCCAGCCTGACCAGTCACAGTGACTCCAAGCTGTTCTCTCCTTGTGCAAAATCCTGCCCAGTGTGCAAGGCAGACCGGCTCAGAGCAGAAGGGCCCAGAGCCACCTCGTGCCCTCCCCTTATCCAAATCCTACACCAAATGATAGCTGCTGTGGCCGGAGTGTTCCTCTGCAGTGCTTGTTCAGTGGGCACCAGGCCCATCCCCTGGAGCAGCCTCTCCCTGTCCCCAGCCCACGCCCCACCCTGGAGACGCTGCACACTGGTCCTGTTTCCGCCTGACCCCTTGCCACTCAGGCCTCATCCAGGATCATCAAACTAGTGTGTGCTGGGGTCCAGCTACATCTGGAGGATCATCTGTCCTAGTCCCTTCGTTCGACACATGGGGAAACTGAGGCCAGCAGGGCTGGGGTCAGGCAGCAGATGAGTGACCAGCAGCCCGGGCTCCTCCTGCCAGCTGTGCACCGCTGCACCCATCACACTAGTGGGCTTTGACAGCCTGCTGTGGCCCCTTCCCCACTGCACCCCTGCCAGGAGCCTCACTGTGGAGACTGCAGTGAGCAGAGACATGGATTCGCTCCCTGGCCTCAGGAGCCGTGGGCTGGGCCACTGGGCCCCCAGACGGCTCAGGACAGCCAGCTGCCCTCAAGTCCACCTGAACTGAGCTGGCCGGCGTCCCCTCTGTGTGAGATGCTTGCTCCAGCCAGAGAATATCCGGGGTGGGACGCTGGGAGGAAAGGAGTTGTGCATTGTAGACCTGGAGGGTTGTAGAATGCAGCAGAGGCCAGGGGCCGGAGTTCCCAAGGGATCAGGATGGGCCACGTGGCCTGAGGAGAGAGAGGGCATCAGGGGAGAGCCCGGTTTAAGGTTGAGAACTGATTCTGAGCTTTCTGAGGAGCCCCTAGCTGCTGAGCCCAGGAACTGCCACACACAGAGCAGGAGGCTGCTGCTGGCGAGGAGATCTCGGGGGACCCCACACTTACAGTCCGGGCTTTCTCCTCCATGCCTCACCATGCGTGTCAGCTACAGTCGGGATCCTCTGTAACAGAGACCCAGACAAGCGATGACCTCAACAAAGCAGCGGCTCATTTCTCTCACATGAGCGTCGGTGGTAGCTGCAGGTAGTGATATGGCACCACCTCCATGGTCAGGAGCCTGCTCCTGCTGTTGTGTTGCTCTCAGCCAGCGATGGTGAACCTTTTAGAGATGAGTGCCCAAACCACAACCTAAAACCCACTGTGTATCACAAAGTACCAATATTGCCATTAAACCTGAATATTGAGGTTTTAGTTTAGGAAAAAACAACTCCTACATTAAAATCTCTTGTCTTCAAAGAAAAACAACATATGTACCATAAGTTCACCACCACTGCTCTAGACTCATATCCTACTTTTCAGTGTCACCTCATGGTCTAAGATGGCTGCTCCAGTGCCAGCCATCACATCTTCACTATGAGGAGGAGGAGAGAGGATCATGATGAAGAGGCAAAAGGAAAGCCCCAGCTGCCGTTTGTCTTCTGTCTGTCTGTCTGTCATCTTTCTATCTGGAGAAGCAACTTGTTTTGATGGGTTATCTCCAGAAACCAAAAGAATTGTGTATTAATACTCAGTTCTTCCCTGTGCCTCAGAGACTTCACACTTCTCTACCTGGGAAGGTGGTATACACTACCCTTTGCTTTCCCAAGGCCCCAGTCTTTCCCCCTACACATTCAGCCTAACATGGAAACTTAGTTGCAGTACTGCTTTCTCCCCTGGTGATGCTTGCTCAGCTACTTAATACTGGGAGGTAGAGGAGTGGGTGGAAGGGAGTTAGATGAGTATAAAGAGTGATGCACAGAAAAACAGGAACATGTCTTACCCAAGGTCCCTCTCTCCTGTCCCAGTGGCTTCACCCTTCATTGGCTTTTTTTTTTTTTTTTTGGTACCAGGAATTGAACTCAGGACCTTGTGCTTACCAGGCAGGCACTATGCCACTGAGCTATATCCCCAGCCCCAGGCCTTGTTTCTCTCTGTGCTGGATCATACTGTTCATAAGCCACTTCCAGTCCCAGAGCCATGGGTCTAAAGTGGCTGCCACAGTGCCAACCATCACAGCCCAAGGCCACTGGTAGCTGCAGAAGAGACTGGAAAAGTCATTATTCCAGGCAGTTGGCACGTGAGATGCAATAGTTCCAATTTGTGTGCACTCCTGGCCCATAAAGCTCTACAGCGATCTGTTAGGCAGAGTCTGCCACCTGGTTCATCTTTGCTGTCTCTGGCCTGCTTGGGCTATAGTTTGTAGAGCAACAGCGGGATATGTTACAGGAATGCCATGCTCAAGGTCAGCTTGTATTTCAAGATGTCATGCAGGGACCGGCAGTGTCCAGCCAGCCAGAGCCTTTCCTAGCTGGACTCCAGTTAGTCCGTCTTTGTCTCCCATAGCCTGGGTAAGAGCCTAGCCTGGGGCCGTTCCTGGAGCTCAGAGTCCAGCTTCAGTCTTCTGTACTGGTCCCAGAGGCCTTGTCTGCCATGTTGGACTGGGATACAGGCCGCCTTGTCATTAATATCTTCCTTGAGATTAATTCACATGCTCTGAAATCCACTCATTCAACATGCATACTTCAGCAAGTTCTAGGCCATTGAGAGTTGTGCAGCCTGCGCTAGACCTAAGCTCAGAGCACTGTCAGCTCCCAGAAGAAAGGCCGAGCTCACCAGCCATCTCTTCCCGTCCCCCAGCTCCAGGCTCAAGCTAATCCACTTCCCACCCCTGCAGAGCTGCCCATGGTGGACCCGCCGTGTCAACGGAATTACGCAACACAGGGATTTTGTGCCTGGCTTCTTCCACTCATCACAGTGTCCTCAGGGCTCACAGTGTCATCCATGCATCCATCCCTCCTCCCTCAAGTGCTGTTGGAGTGTGCGTTTCATCTGTCCCCTCGGCGGTTGGTGGGGGTTTGGGTTGTTTCCACCTCAGGGCCATGGTGAGTGACGCTGCCATGTGGGCTGTGTTTTCAGTCCTCTCAGGCACCTAGGCATGGGACTGCTGGGCTGTGGCCCCTCGGTTTACTGTGCTGAGGCCCTGCCAAACTGTTCTCCAGGTTGGCCACATGCCAGGGACATGTGACAGTCCCCACAGCCCCGGAGCCTCTTAAAGCAGATGCCATGCCCCCTCCGCTACACCCACTGGCCAGGACGCGTCCGCTGCCACTCACGGCTGCAAAAGAGGCTGGAGGGTAGTTGTTATCCGGGCAGCTGTGACAATAGCCAACATTAAGTCCCTGTAGGGCAAGAAAGTGTCTCCCCAGCAGCTTGAGCATCTCCCCAGATGCTGCCGGGTGCCCGGGCACCCTGTCCCTGCCCCCGGCCCGAGCCTCACGGTTGTCTGTCTTCCAGCATATGTGCTGCCCGTGAAGGTGGAGATGGAGATGGTCATCCAGCAGTACGAGAAGGCCAAGGTCATGCAGGACGAGCAGCTGGAGAGGCTGACGCAGATCTGCCAGGAGCAGGGGGTAGGTAACGTGCGGTGCGGCTCTTCTGTCCATTCTGAGCAGGCCCTGTGGGGGACACTGAAATGCCCAGAGCCCCAGGACACCGGCACTCGGGGACATGAGGTGAGGGGGCCCCCCAGGGCACAGTCCTTGTCATCCCAGCTGAGTTGCCAAGGCACCCACCATTCACCGGCACTTACAGGGGCTCGGTCCCCAAGGCGCAAATCTGTCTGCTGAGGGCGGCAGAGCACCACTGTGCCCATCAGCACCAGGACCCTGGGACACCCCAAGAGGGGTTAGGGGTGCACACAGCCCTCCCCAGGGGGTTCAGAAGAAGGGCCTGAGTGCCAGCCAGTCCTGCAGCTGGGCTACAGGGTGCTGCAGAATGCTAGCAGATGAGGCTCCTGTGAAGGTCACATGGTGGGGATGTTGGGGTGATGGACAGATGACAGGAAGGCCATCCTGCCCCCTTGCTCCATGATCCAGGCAAGCTCAGCCTGCCACCCCCAGCGCTGCAGGCCGGGCTTGGTATGGAGCCCCAAGGCACATACCCCTGGTTTGCAGTGCAGTGAGGATGGCCACACTTGTGCCCCCGCTGCCTGGTACACAGGGTCCCTCCGGGGACTCAGGGCTGGTGTCTCACCCGTCACATGCCATGTGCCTACTCGTCTGTCTGTCAGGGAACCCCATCTGCCCCTGTTTCGGAAACGCTACAGCCTTGCGTTTGAGCACAGAATGCCTCTGAGTGACAGGCGGGCCCCCGAGGGACACATCGTCCAGGGGTCTGGGAGCAGGCAGTCCACAGGGTCTCTCCAGTGCGTTCTGTCAGTCAGGACTTGTGCTGGCATCCCTGATGGACATGGCCGCTGCCCTCAGGGGCCTTGGGGAGTTGGGCAGCCCAGACGGTGGTCTAGTGCCACCCACACCTCTCCAGGGCTTGTCCAGCTCAGAGTCCAGAGTGAGGGGGGTTGATGGGGCCCTGACCTGAGCAGTGAGGTGCTGAAAGCCAGGCCCGTGTCCAAGGCGGCGGGCAGCAGGAGGGCTGGAGGGGCTGGGCATGGCCCAGGCTGGCCTCGTCTTGGGGAGGAGCAGTGCTGGAAGTCAGGCAGGAGGCGTCGGCTCTGATGTGAGTTTCGGTGGTTCTTCCTGGCTACACTGAATGACAGAGAGGAGAGGACAGAGGGGACCAAAGAGACAGCAACCACTGGGTGGAAGAGTCGGGTTTGTACAGCAGGGGCCATCGAGGCCAGAGGAGAAGACAGTTCTGGGTGTCATCCAGAAACCTGCTGGGGGTTATCAGGTGGTTCTCAGTGCACCTTGGGACAGAAAAACAAACGCGCTGCCTCTGCAGTCATCAGCAGAAAGCTGCTGCCCGCCCCACCTCCATGCACAGCCGCTTGGCTGGCGGGGGATGTGCCGACCCCGTCTCTCACCTCCTGTCAGCAGCACGCGCATCAGGTGGCCAAGGAGGAAATCCTAGTGGTAGGCTCACCCCCGTGTCTCCATAGTGACCCCCGTCTTGAGCCCCCCAATTTCTGCCCACATGTGGCCACCTTCCCCGGGGGGCTGGGCCACAGGGAGGCTGCTGTGCTTCTGCACAGGAAGGAGTCAATAAATACAGACAGATCCCTCTCGCTGGTGACATCTGGAAAAGAGATGAACACAAACCAGCCATCCTAATTCAAAAACCACCTGAAGCCTGTCATCCCAGTTAAGATAGCAGAAATCATCGGGTGGGCTGGATCCCAGGGGGATGCTGGGGAGGGCTGGCCGGGTGGTGCTGGAGCTTCTGCAGGGAAACCAGGAAGCTGCTGTCCAGGGCTGACACCAGATTTGAGACTCGCCTCGGTGTGTTGTCCCTGGAATGTCGGGGATGGCCAGACCCCTCTGGAGAGGAGCCTGTGATGGTAACAATAGACATTAAGGACAACTAGGTCAAAGCCAACCATGCTACTTGTGCCTTGGGCACTGCTAGACCCTCTGTGGGCCTCAGTCCTGCTCATCTGGAAATGGGGGTGATAACAAAACCCAGGTGAGGCTGCTACGCTTAAAACATGGCAGGTGATAAACCTTGACACTGGGTGCTCCTCCGTCCTGCCCACCGGGCCCATGTGACCGCCCCCAGGTCCACACGCCCACGGTGGGGACTCAGCCAAGAGCACACAGCGTTCCAGGGCTCTTGGAACCTGGGATGGATCCGGGTGTCCTTCCTGGTGTTTGTCAGTCCCCCCCGCCCCATAACTGCTTCTTAGAAAGGTTAAGTTGCCTCTTCTGTGACCATACAGATTCCTCTCAGGTGACGTGTTTGCTGGTTGCCATGGACACCTTAGACATTTCATCTTCTGTGCCACCTAACAGCTCACTGCTTGCCACCAGCCATGCCCAGAGGGACCAGAACACCTCACACTGCAGAGGGAAGGCTCCTAGAGGGCACGTGCCCAGTCTAGGGTTAGCCAAGAGGGCCCTGCAGGCCAAGAGAAGGGGAGCAGTGTGCCCAACGCCACAGAGCAGCTTGGAGGCTAGAAGGAAAATGGGGTCTCCTGCAGGTCACTCAGGGCCATGTGGCCCTTCTTTCTGGACAGGGAGACGGGATTCGCTGCTTCTCTTATTCCCGTGCTCCCTCCTGACTTCTGGGCATTACCGTGAGATTTCTGCCCCAAAGGGGAGCCGAGAGGGCCGAGCAGAGAGGAAATCTCATCCAAGTCAGTCCGACCTCTTCTAGGCCTTGGCCATACGACGCAGTCCACTTCTACCCTGCCCACCGCCCTATGAGACATGAAGACGTGGATCCTGAATCCCACTCCACAGCCGAAAGTTCCTCTCTCAGGTTTATTTTGTTCCTTGTCTGGATCCCAGCCTGAATTTTCCTAAGAGATCATCGCACTTGTCCCCAAATGGGTGTGAAGCAGGATGTTCGTGGCTGTCCTTCAGGGAGACAGTGTCAACTGTCTGTCTGTCTGTCTCTGTCTACCAGATGCTCCAGGAATCAGAGCTGCTCAAACGCAGTGGTTAATTCAATGCACTGTCCTGTTCTTCTGACGTATCTTTCAAACCCACTCAGGAGACGTATGTAGGTCCATGCCCAGCATCCTGCTCTACTGCTGGACATCCAGGCTACCTGCTCGTTGCTCTCTAAGCCTTACAATAGATGTTGGCCCCAAATCATAGGATCTGAATGGACCTGCTGTGGAATTTCATTTCTATCCTGGGTTCGACAGGAAGCACAGAGGAAGTTGAGTTCTCTGTCCTCAGTAACCTTTATTCCAAGGCAGTTGGCAGAATACCAAGGGACAAGGGGTCCCACCTAGGGTGTCTTCAGACCCAGCCTCTGAGGAGGCCCAGCCTCTGGGGAGGCCAGAGGAACCCGGGAGCCCTTGGGGGTTGGTGTGGAGAAAATTCCCTGACCTGGGAGGCAACAGCTTTGTCTTTGGAAAAAGGGAGGCAAGGCTCTCCTCATGCAGAGGCTGTGAGGGTCACATTAAACCGCATAGTACACACTGGGGGCTCAGTAAACATGGGGAGCAGACTAGGCGCCTAGCACAGACCCTGCACTGCCATGCGCGTCAGCTCACTCCATCCGATGGTCATGGCTGGAGGCCAGGGACCCTTCATGGACGGGAAGGCTGAGGTGTGGAGGGGCTGTTCTTGTCCGGGTGCCGTTTGTCACAAGAGGGCTGGGGACCAACCCAGGACTTCATTTCCTTTCGCCATAATAGGATCTGTGCACGAGGCACAGTGAGGATGAGAACCTGTAGTGGCCACATCAAACGATGCCAGCCATCTTGGTGGCCGAATGCAGGAAGTGTGTGTCTGTCACACACCTCATTCCAGGACAGGCTGTGGCGGTGCAGCACAGGAGGACCTTGTGGCCCCCAGGCTCCTCCCGCGGGGTCTTCTTTATTCAGCCAGTGTGCAGGGAAGGGGCATGGAGAGCTGAGCTTGGAGCTGCACTGCTGAGCTCGGACATGGTGATGTGGCTTCTACCTGTTTCATTAGCAAAACTCAGTTACACAGTCCCAGGCCGGATGCCAGGGGAGCCTTTTGTGCGGCCCAGAAGAGGAAAGGTCACCTACACAATTGCCTAATCTGTAAACCAGGCCAATGGGCCCGTGACCTCCTTACCTTTTCCCCATCCCTATGTGGCAGGAGCAGTCTCTGCACAACATCCTGGGGTGTGTCTCCCTACCTGTTTCCTGAAGAAACAAGGCCATAATCTTGACCTCTGCTCAGCATGTGTTTGGAGGAAGAAGGTGACAGAGGACGACATTGACTGTCCCCTTCCTGTCCAGCCAACCGCATTTCCAATCTCTGCACCCCAAGAGGATGTCCCCCGGCATTTGTGCACAAAAATTGCTCACTTAGAGGCTGGGGACACAGCTCCGAGATGAGCAAGAGGGCAGGCGTAGCAGGAAAACAGTGGGAACACATTCTGGCTCCAGGACGGCTCGAGCTGGATCATCCCAGGGAGCTCTTTCTTGGTGGAGGCCACGAGTCCCGGCTCAGCCCAGGTGCCTTTGTTACCTGGATTATTCAGGATCTTCCCTGTAGGAAGAGGATTTTTTTTTTCTTTAATTTTAACATGGGAAGTGATTTGTAAAAGAGCTGATAGTTTTAATGACAAGCCTATTTAGTTGATAAAATTAGCCATCAGAGGAATAACTTATGTTATCCTTTTGCCATAATTTAAATTTATGGCCAAACGACCAGTCATCTTCACAGTGGATGGAAAGGGGCCAAGGTTGGTCTCAGCTTCACCCTGGCCCTAAATCATGAGTTTGCAACTGTCTCCTGATTTTTATTGTTACCAACAATGGTGGAACTAATGGAAATAAACATTGGATGCCATCTCAAAAGCAGATGGGGGTGGAAGGCAGGGCAGTCTGCGTAGACAGCACTAATAGGATGGAGCAGAATTATTGCTATTGCATTAGATACCATCGAGCTCTGGCCCAGGAGTGCATTGATCGGACCAAGGCCCATATCAAGTGGACTCCACACCCAGCCCATTAGAGGCAGAGAAG